CTCGCCTCCTAACTCCCCAAAGTCTGTCCACCATCAACAAGGCATAAGTTAGAAGCATAATGAAACACTACCCACTTGCCTAGATGGGTACAGCGCCAACAACACTCGAGAAGCTTGACACCATCCAGGACAAAGCAGCCCACTTGATTGGCACCACATCCACAAGCATCCACTCACTCCACCACCGACAGTCAGTAGCAGCCGTGTGTTCTATCTACAAGATGCACTGCAAAAATTCACCAAAGATCCTTAGACATCGCCTTCCAAACCCACAACCACTTCCATCTAGAAGGACACAAGGGCAGCAGATACATGGGAACACCACCACCTGCAAGTAGCCCTCCAAGCCACTCATCATCCTAACTTGGAAACATACTGTTGCTACTGTTGTCACTGGGTCAAGATCCTGGAATTTCCTCCTAATGGGATTGTGGGTCAACCCTCAGCATGTGGACTGCAGCGGTTCAAGAATGCAGCTCACCACCACCTTCCTTCTGAAGGGCAACTAGAGACAGGCAATTTAAAAAATGCTGATCCAGCCGGTGTGGGCCACGCCCCAAAAGTGATTAAAAGTATTAAAGTAACATTGCAGTCTAATCACAAATGTCATGTAAGATGTAAAGTACCCAAAGGGCACACAGTATGACCACGAGGAGAGCCGTGAGATAACAAGCAGGTGACCTGCTTTAAATTATGCTTACTGAAGCATAAATACTGGCCAGAGGGCAGTGGGATGAACTTCCTGGCTCTTCTTTAGTGATATGTTACAGCCACCTGAACAGGCAATAGGAGTACTGTCAACACAACCATCTCATAACACTGGCTATACCTGCAGGCAGAGAAACAGGGTCAACATTTCAAGGTGTAAAGGAGGGTCACATTCTAGCACCAGTACACCAGAACCTCAACAATGACCACCCAAGCCCCACGTACCTAGCAGTCCCTCAGTACTGATGCTCAGACATATAACAGTGTCTCATTAGCTGATTCGCTGAACGTGCAGCCCTGTCAGCACTCAAACCCTCAAGGTCGAGTCTCCAGTCTGCCCAGCCCCCCGACAGTGCAGAGAATGAGGAGCTCCCTTGACCCTGAAAATTGTAACAGCGCAATGCACCCTCAGCACTGACCCTCTGACAGTGTGGTGCTCACTTGTACTGACCCTCCAACAGTGCGGTGCTCCTGCAGCACTGACTCTGTGACAAGGTCAGAAATCACACCACACCAGCTTATAGTCCAACAGGTTTATTTG